CCCCAAAACCCCAAAACCCCGCTATCTTGCCATTGACAAATCTTTTTGAAATATTAATTAATGCATGAAAAATAACTATTATTTAGCTATTTTTTTAAAATGAATGCAATCTATTTTAATTTACTCGCACACATTTTATTAATGAGATTAGTTTATTCTCGATGCTTGAGGGATATAAAAAGTATTTAATAATTACATAAAGGTGTACTGGTACACGATGCAGAACAAAGCCTAATCTTTACCACTATCTAATTATGGCCATTCAAGCTAGGAAGCACTAAATAAGCTTTACGAATAAGGTAAAAAGTATACTTTGAGAAACTAAGCTAACATGACCTTGGAAAATCAAGAATTTTAGCAAAGACTAAACTAGAAAATCAACAAACTTAGGGCACTTAAATGTACTTCACTAGCGAACGAAAGCTTATACACTACAGTAAAATATTCATCACCTTAGGGAAACTAATCAATTCTTGAGAAAACGAACTCTAACAGCACGATGCATGAGGATGAAGTCTTTAAATTACCTGATATACTTAACTAAAGCAAGCATTTTGAAAGTAATAGTAAGCCACCATCTAATTTAAACAACATTATCATGCGAAATTCAAAATACTCAGAAGAAAAAATGCAGCTAAAGCCACATCAAATGGGCGAGTAGAGATTTCAGACTAACTGCGTAGAGCCTTTTCCCAAGAAATCTCTATTCTATTAAAATTAGCAGAGTGAAATTAAAAGATTTAGCCAATTAGACCAAAATTCATTATAAAAACGAGATGTGTAATTCAAAATGGAGGTGCATCAATCTAACTCGACTAAAAACGTTCAAGATACGCTAAATTTGAAGTCTCTTTAAAATAGACTCTAAAAATAGTCAAGTCCTATTTTTAATGGAAGGTATAGTGATCTAATTCATAGATAGTCACGTCTTCAAGACACTATACAATCCAATGAATATAAATCAGAGTTTGTTGGAGGATCATCAACAGCAAATTCTTCCATTAGAATTCACGAGTAACTTGCTAATAAATAATAAGATAATATTCAGAGAAATTTACAATATTCTTAGAACAAATCTTCAATGGAATTAAGATTAAGTGATCATTCACCTACAAGAAATGAGATAAAATAATAAACAATACAAAATAAGCAAGAAGAAAAGAAACATTACGATTCCTTTTAAAAAAGATTTAAGGAGTCAATGCCTTTCAAGATCAAATTATTGAAAATGCAATTTAATGAACGAAGTTAAGCCAAAAATATTGGAACTTTAGAGCATCTCGATATGAAAAAATCGGATAGCTAGCTATGCCTATCTTTTTCAGATTTTTCTGAATCAGAAAAAAAGATTGTATTAATTCATCCATAAGATTAGAAACCCTAATAAAAAATAGAGTAAATTGAAAGGGAATCAGGTAAAGCTAATAGTGTAAAAAGGAGAATTTAACAGTAGTCTAAAACTACAAAGAAGTCTAGAAAATTCAAAATAATTAAAAGCAAACTACCTCCACTCTTAAATATTAGTTAAACACCAAATATGATGAAGAAAATTAACCTGCACGAGGATTTGTCTTATGTCAAATCCCCTCTAAATATTGATAATCTTAGAAATTAATCTATAACCCCAATACCTCAGGAATCTTTAATTATTCCAGAGATCTTGCCACATTCTTAAAAGGTGTCTTAAAAATAAAATAACATTACCTAACAAGTCAATTATTAATAAAAAACAGCAACTACTGGATAGGAGAGATATAGCAGTACAAAGATTGCAGTCACTTCCTTAAATCAGTAGTTGCTTGGCAATAGTTAAATAGCTTACTATAGAACCAATTCAAGGAATAGTAATAATAATAGATATTTGGATTAGCAAAATAGCTAGCAGTCCAATAAATCCTAGAATTCTCACTATCCAGAAGAAAGTAAGCAACTAATTAATACTCCTCAGATTCTTAATAAGATGATTAGAAAGCTCTAACAAAACTTCAATAACAAATCTAAGAAAAGCACAATCAACATTTAATGATTGTGAAAGAGGAAAGTATGAAAGAATCATTAACTTATAATAAGTCCTATATGACCAAGTCATCATTTAAATTCTTCTCTAATTCTTTAGAGATGAGAATGATGTGAACTAAGACTTATATTCTTTAATTGTGATATACATTAACTTTTTAATTTAAAAAAGTTTTTTCTTTGAGGGGTTTTGGGGTTTTGGGGTTTTGGGG